TTTGCCTGCGAACTCAGAATTCGAAGCTCTTGCACACTATGCAACAATGAACAGAAAATCTACTCTAAATCCATAATCAAATCATGCATAGCATCAAAGCAAACACGGATTCAAACAATTCAAATCCTATAACGTGCGTGATCGGGTTCTAACAAAAATCATGTAGAGCAACCAGGCTCTGATACCACTGTTGGGTTTTCCTGGGATCTCATGAGAGAATCTAATTCCTAAGAGATCGATTCTAGGGTTTGCGCAGCGGATGTAAAACAAAATTTTGATGAAACCCTAGAACCTATCATGCATGATCTTGCAGAAACGTTAGAATGCTTACCTCAATCGATCCGGGGCCTGTATCAATTGATCTGTTCGTCCGATCACTGTAGGCAGGAAGAATACCTTGCCCTCTACACGTATCCACACGGCGGAAAGGATTCCAACGGTTGGAACTTGTCTGCTAGGACTGAAGAACACTTTCTTCTTTGCGCCAAGGATTCAGGGATCTTTCTCTTAGGTTTTTCGCTCTCCAAACCTCTCCCTAGGGTCTGAAATTCGTCCCAAAAGAGTTGGGTCGTGTTTCCCTAAGTTTTCCCACATTAAAACCCTAATTAGAGCGAGTTTAGTAAATTCCGACGTCTGGACCGATCGGTCTGGAGCTTTTTAACGTCTGGACCGATCGGTCTGGAACAATTTCCGGACCTCACACGTTACCTCTGGACCGACCGGTCTACGTCTAGACCGATCGGTCTGGGTTAGCTGGACCGGTCGGTCTGGCCTCCGCTCCACCGGGATTTTCTCGTCTCTTCTCGCGCATTCGTCCTTTCCTGTGTGTGTGACCCTGTAGGCTCATCCGATATAGCAGTATAACACGAAATCTCTTATTTCGGTTACACAAGTCATAGACGGTCTCTAGCAAGACACTATGCCTGCCTATCTCGAATAGAGTTTGTTCGTGATCCTACGAACGCCAGTGATGATTCTGTTTGATGATCCTTTTGTATCACGATATCATATGTCGAATATAAGGCATGGACAAGCCACCTTATCTGATTCGACTGATTTCTCGTTCACTGAGTTCGACTGTATGAAATAGACGACGTTCGTCTATAGTGCGGCCACACATTTCTACAGTCTCGCTCACACGAGGGGCCCAACGATATCTCTCTCTTTTACGAGAGGTACAAATCCCATCTTGACTATCTACAATCCAGCACATGATTCGTTTAGTACCTGATACACGTCTTTATAGTCCTCCTGTTACGCAGGACGTTTGATGTAATCAAAGTACGCAACTCTTCATGTTGGATTCCGTAGATATCTCAGGTCTTAGGATCCAATCATGGAACCGTCATATGAGATTCAAGTCATGACGCCAGTCCATGTGACAATATCATGCGGGTCAATCCAGTATTCCGTTCTCCAACGAATACCTATGATTGTGATCGTATCCAATACCTATGATAATCTATATGATCATCAATCACACATCATACTAGTCTTATTATGTCATCATTCCCATAATGACACAAGACTAGGGAGTTAAGTATCATTCATAATGATACATGGATTTCATAACACATCTAGTATGTAAGAACATGTAATGAATCAAATACTCTCATAAACCATAGAAAGTATCAATACATCAAATGTATCTAAATAAAGCTCATAAACAGTACATCATAGAGCACTAAACCAACACTTGCTCTGTCGGATCGGGTTCTAAGGAAGGTCATATCCGAAAGGACGGCCTTCGGAATCTGGAGGAAGCTAGAGCGATTGCACATAGAGCAATCCCTCTCCAATAGGATGTACCTCAGGGCAGTCGGGGTAGACTCGGGAGATGGGTAGATGTCGGGGTGTGACCCTCGGAGGGCCATTGGTGAGGTATATACTTCACCGGATGGGGTCATTTAGACGGTCTAGAGAGTCATACTAGTCTAGATCTTAGGTAACTTTCGGAAGCGGAGGTGTCAGGAGATACTCGCTTGAGTAGGTTAGGTGCGTCGTGTTACGTTGAGACGTGTTTATGACACGTTCGGTAAGGACTCCTTTAGAAATGTAGGTTCAATGCGCCTTGAACCATGCCAAGAGGGGGAATTACATGGAAGTTACGGGATCAACATACTAGGGTTTGGTGTTTTTTTCTTTTTTCCGTGGTTTCTTTACAGGATTTGCAGAAGAAGGTGGAGTTTGTGGAGTTATTTTCAGCAAATACTCTGGGCGGAGAAGAGATTTCCTAAGCCGCTGCGTGTGGTAGAGTGTTTCAAGGACGGAGGGGCAGTTTGGTAATCTCGCAAGGTCGATTAGACCTAGGGTTACGGGTCTCATTTTTTCCAGCTAGTGTTGGTTGTTCTTTTGTCACATTTTCTCTCTCTTGCGGCTGGGTTTTTCTTCTCTGTGCGTCTGTGATCGACTCCGGTCGTTTTCAGGCGAGTTTCTCCGGTTGTAACCCTAGTAGAACGCTAATCCTCTTCTCGAGACGTAGGCCCGAGCTCCGGCTCGGTAACCGAACTCGTACATCGCCGTGTCTCCTTTCTTTTCTGTTCTTGCACACGAACGAGATCGGAGAGTTCTCGGTGAGGTTTCGAGGGCGATTCGTCTACAAAGATTTCTAGAAATATAAAAAATGATTTATCGTCTACGAAAAGAAAATTTTAAATCATTAATAATGAGATAGACATACAAAAACAATAATCACGTGAGAGACACATATGAGGCGTACACTATACACGCTTATCAAATTAAGTTTAAAAAGAAGAATAAATTTGTGTTGTTGTTTGGGTTCAACCCATGGGTTTAATGGGTTAGAACCATTTAACCCATTTGACCAAAAGAATAACAAAAAAAAAAATAAATGGATTGGGTTGGGTTAACCCTCTAACCCTGAGCCTATTTATGTATAAGTGGGGTACTTGTCCCCCTTCACATTTAAAAAAAATATATTATTTATAATTTTGATTAAATTGTAACAATGTCCCCATTAAAATTTAAGTGGTGTTCCCTCTATTTTTTAACCCTAAATCTTTTTTTTTCAATTTTGTCTTCTACCAATCTCACATTCTCCTTCATTTTTTAAATTTTTTTTCCAACTCCAAATTACTTCTATTTAATCTTTTATCAAATAAAAAAATAGAAGTTCAATAATAATCAAATCCAAATAACTAAAACCAACAAAAATATTAACTCTAAATTTTATTTTAAATAATTTTTTATGTTTTGTTCATTTGTTTTTATATAAATCTCACATTTGATTTAATAAAAAAATGATAAATTTCTTTTTTAAAAAAATTACATTATTAAAATTTTAATGATCTATTTATCCAATGTCGAAGATCATATCATTCGATCATATCATTTGCAATGAATTGGGAATCAACAAATCCATGACGATACTCCACTAGAAAAAAGAAAAAGAAAAACTACGTAAATCTTGAACAGAATATTTAACAGTTGAAGCAATACCCATTTTTTGGTTATTCTATTTGGTGAAAGAAAACTAACATTCATATCAAAACCTAAGACATGTATATTTGGAACTTTAAGTCTATTTTTTAATTTAAAAATTCTGTATGATTTGGTGATTCAATGCACTGTTATAATATATAGTTTTCAATGATTCTTCCTCATCCGGGTGGCCAATCACCACTCAAGCATTGCTTTGACTTGTCCTTTTTAAATACGATCACAAACCAAAGTCTATATAGAGATGGGCCAACACTCACAAAAAGTAGCAATATGATATTCGATCTGTGTATTATATGATTCCTTTTTATAACAAAAATATAATCCACGGTTAATGTTTTCCATATACTTCTATTAAAAATGCATATACGTACAAATTTGTGGGACTCCTTTTGATAAAGTATAATCCAATAACGAAATAAATTTCAATAACTTAGGAAATATATATAAGCATGAAATATCGAGTGGGGAGGGAGGTGTTACGCTTTAAAAATATTCACAACTGCTGCTTCCGGGTCTTGGGGATGTAGGTTGATTGGTCTTGTTTCTCTGTTTCAGGTTGAGAATCTGAGAGGAGAGAACTCAGTCTTGTACAAGCAGCTCATAGGTGCAACCCAACAGTTCCGGAATGCAGATACAAGTAACAGAGTTCTCAAATCAGATGTGGAAACTCTCAGAGTCAAGGTATTTAGTTCCCCTTTTCGGAAAATAGTTGCTGGACAGAAGAAACCGAAAACAAAGTCGAAGCCCTTTTTTTTTTTATCTTGCAGGTGAAACTAGCTGAAGATTTGGTAGCAAGAGGGTCACTTACAAGCAGCTTGAATCAGTTTCTTCAAACTCATCTAACTCCACCACAACCAATCAACACGCTGCGTTTCACGACGGGGAATCCCTCCCCGGCCGCCATTACAGTCCGCAGCGAGCAATCTTCGTTCCCCGGAATCACACTTACCAGACAGAACTCGAGCCTCGGGCTGTGTAACATATCCAGTGATGCTGTCAGCTGCGTATCTGATATTTGGCCTTGACGTTTCAGCCAATGTTCTGTCTGGGTTTTCTGTCACTAAATCTAGAAGCGATTAGAGAAATCGGTTGTTGTATGTTATGTAGAAGAGATTCAATATTATAGATCAGATCAAACAGCTCCAAGAACCAGACAAGAACACTCACGCGAAACATTGGCACTTCTGTTTTCGTTCAGTGTTGGTTAGTATTAACCAAACCTCAGGACAGTAAAAGTGACTGATTTTACGAACCGTCTCTGATGGCAACGGGATGTTTATAACTCTGAGCCACAACAAAATGACATTATTATAGATTTTAACACCTCCTAGAGACATCATCATGTTCAGTGTCACTGACAGGGAAAATCTGTTTTCGATGTCACAAAAGCCTCTTGATCCTCCAATCCTACGGCCAAAGCCGGTCAGAGACCCGTCCTTTGAATGCGCCGTGAATTCTCGGGTTGCTGAAAATTTTACGAGCATTTTCTTTGTTATCACAAAAAGGGGAGCCTTGGGGTACCGGTTAAGCTGTCGAGTTATGATCTAGAGGTTACGGATTCCAGTCCTGGAAGCCGCCTCTTGTAGAATATTTCTGCAAGGTAAGGTCTGCTTACAAAACACCACCACAGACTTGTTGTGCACTGAACTGCCCTTTTACTCGTTACCACCATGACTGCTCTCATAAGGGTTGAAATTATTACCAGTACTACCATCAACTAAGCCCGGTTAAACTGTCTGTGCTCAACTCTCTGCTACCACCATGGCTATAGATCCATCATCATGTTGCCTCCTCTCTCTCCGTAATCATCATTTCTTTCTTTTTTTTCTGTTCAAGGAAGGAAACTTTGGTATGTGGTGTTAGAGGATATTATTGGAGCATTCATTTGTTCCTAGTTTTTGGTTATTTAGAAATGTGTGTTCAAGACTTGGTAATTGTTTCTAGATTTTACAAACTATTTATTTTATGTTAGACTAAGTTTTATTATGTATCATTATTATCATGTACTAGAATGTTCTTAGGAGTAGTATATATATGTGTATTCTTGTAGAATTTGTAATACAAAAAATATTCTTTTTCTTCTCTTATATGGTATCAGAGCTAGAAATCGTCTAACCGACGTTTTTTTTCCCCCAAACCCTACCGCCACCTTCCTCGTTCTTCTTCTTACATTCGATCATGGCTGTTGAAAACTCCTCTTCCAACACCTCTGACATTCCGAGCGACATCGTTTTCCCCTATGATTCTAGCAGCACTTTCAATCCTCTTCTCAATATCAATGTCTCCAACGTGTCTAAGCTCACGGCCATGAACTACATCACGTGGAGCGTGCAAATCCGAGCTCTTCTGCAGGGGTACAATCTCGACTGCTTTCTGGATCCCGCAAACAATCAACCGGCCACACTCTCTGTCGACAATGCAGTCACTGCCAATCCCAATTATGGTCCTTGGTTCCGCCAAGATCGTCTGGTATTTTCTGCTCTCCTTGGCTCGCTCTCTCCTTCATGTCAGGCACTGATTGCCTCTGCCGCTTCCTCTGGTGATGCTTGGCAAACTCTTGCCACTACGTACGGTCGATCAAGCCGTGGACATCTCAAACAAATTAAGGATCAACTCCGTCGCTTCACCAAAGGCACCAAAAGCATTGATGAATATATGCACTTCTACAAAGTGAAAGCGGATGAGCTTTCTCTTCTCGGCAAGCCCTTGGACCACGAAGATCTACTTGATTTCATCCTTGCTGGTCTTGGCGATGATTTCAAACCTGTCAAGGATGTTGTCCACGCTAAGGACTCACCCATGTCCTTCATTGAGCTTCACGAGAAGCTGTTGAATCACGAAGCCGACATCTCTGCCTTACAATCTGTCACTTCAGATTTTCCTGTCACGGCAACTGTTGCCCAACACAAGCCTCGCTCCCCTTGGCGCGGCAACTCTCGCCCTCCATATGAACCTCGTGGCTCTTGCTCTTCCTCGGGCCGTGGCTATCTCGGTAAATGTCAGCTTTGTGGTACTCAAGGCCACAGCGCTCGCTTTTGCCGCCTTCTCCGATCTCAGCCTGGTATATTGCCTTCTCCGATGTCATTTGATTCTCGCCGGTCTTCCTGGCAACCCAACGCCAACACAGCTGCTCTATCCGGCTCTGCTTCTCAGTCATGGATCTTGGACTCTGGCGCATCCCACCACATCACTGCTGATTTTGACAATCTCTCGTTGCACTCTCCTTATTCAGGCACCGACGAAGTTATTGTCGGGGATGGTTCTGGCCTCGCGATCACACACTCAGGTTTCACTCACCTTCTTACCTCTTCTCGACCCCTTTCTCTCCATAATGTTTTGCTTGTTCCTGCAATTCATAAAAATCTTGTTTCCATTCATCAACTGTGTCGCTCTAATGATGTCTCTGTTGAATTTTTCTCCCACTCTTTTCAGGTCAATGATCGAACAACGAGGGCAATCCTAGTCCAAGGAACGCTCCGTAACGGCGTGTACGAGTGGCCAACTCTTTCGTCTCCTTCCTTGTCCTCTGTTTCCGCATTTTCCAGTGTCAAATCGACAGTGTGTGCTTGGCATTCCAGGCTTGGTCACCCTTCGGTTGAAATTCTTAATAAAGTTTTGTGTCATCTTTCCTTGCCTTCGTCTTCGTCTTCGAGTCTATCTTTCCATTGTGAGTCATGCTCTATCAATAAGAGTCATAAATTACCATTTTTCTCTTCCTCTGTTCAGTCTTCCCCTCCTCTTGAAGTCGTTTTCTCGGATGTGTGGATGTCTCCTATTGAATCTTTCGACGGGTATAGATATTATGTTGTCTTCGTTGATCATTTCACCCGCTACACCTGGCTCTATCCCCTAAAACGTAAATCTCATGTTTCTGATATCTTTGTCAGATTCAAGTCCCTTGTTGAGACCCGGTTTCAGTCCAAACTTATGTCTCTTTATTCTGATAACGGCGGAGAATATGTTGCTCTTAAGAACTATCTCTCTGTCAATGGAATCTCTCATTATACAACACCTCCTCATACTCCGGAACACAATGGCATTTCCGAACGGAAACATCGCCATATCGTGGAAACCGGACTCACGCTCTTAACTCACTCATCAATCCCTTCTACATATTGGACTCTTGCATTTTCGGCTGCCGTGTATCTTATCAATCGGCTGCCAACTTCTGTCCTCTCCTTTCGTTCTCCCTTTGAGGCCATATATAACGTTTCCCCGAACTACTCTAAACTACGTGTTTTCGGTTGTCTCTGCTTTCCTTGGCTCCGTCCTTACTCATCTCATAAACTTCAGTCTCGGTCCTCTCCTTGCGTTTTTGTCGGCTACTCTCTTTCGCAGAGTGCATTTCTTCTCTCATTCCGTGTTGGCCCACTCCTACTCTGCCGTCACAAGCACCTGCCCCTGTTGTTTCTCCGACCAATCCTACCCAACCTTTATCCTCGACTCAACCGTCAAACTTTCCCTCTGCTTCACCTCCTGATATACCGTCCTAAGAACCTTCTCCTCTACCTATTGTTAACCAACCATCTCTTCCTTCTGCTTCAACTCTCACTAACCTTCACCCGATGACAACAAGATCCAAAAACCAGATTTTTAAACCAAACCAAAAAGTCTCCCTCTCAACCTCTCTTTCTTCTTCCCTCGAAACTGAACCCACTTGTGTATCGCAGGCTATGAAAGATCCTCGATGGCGCTCCGCCATGTCTGAAGAGTTCAACGCACTGGTCCGGAATGGAACATGGAGCCTCGTTCCTCCTGATCCGGCCTATAATGTTGTGGGATGTAAGTGGGTATTTCGCACTAAACGAAATTCTGATTGCTCTATTGGCAGGTTCAAAGCTCGGTTGGTCGCTAAAGGTTTTCATCAACGTCCCGGTCTTGACTTCACCGAGACTTTCAGTCCCGTGGTTAAGCATGCCACCATCCGAGTCATTCTCAGCATCGCTGTCTCCCGTGGCTGGCCTTTACGTCAACTCGACGTTAATAATGCTTTCCTTCAAGGTACTCTCCATGATGTTGTGTTCATGGTACATCCGACTGGGTTTATTGATCGTGATCGTCCCTCGTTTGTCTGTAAACTTCACAAGGCACTATATGGGCTCAAACAGGCTCCTCGGGCCTGGTTTCACGAACTCCGTCAATTCTTGCTTCATTCGGGTTTCATCAGCTCTCTCTCAGACTCATCGTTGTTCATTCTCCGTCAAGGCAGCACCATCATATATCTTCTCGTCTATGTCGACGATATCGTTGTTACCGGGAATGATGCAGTGGTTGTCCAGTTCTTTATTGCTCATCTTGCAGCTCGGTTTTCTCTCAAAGACCTCAGTGATCTCTCGTACTTCCTTGGTGTCGAGGTCACTCGCACAACCCATGGTCTCCATCTTACTCAACACCGCTACACATCAGATGTTTTATCCCGTCATAATATGGATGCTGCGAAACCCGTTCCGACGCCCTTAGCTTCAACCACTGTCCTCTCCAGCAAATCTGGCTCTCCTTTAGCTGATCCGTCTGCATATCGGCAAATCCTCGGCAGCTTGCAATATCTTCTCTTCACACGTCCGGATATGCATATGCCGTTAATAAACTCTCTCAGTATATGCACTCTCCTACCTCGGAACATTGGCAGGCAGTTAAACGGATACTTCGGTATGTTGGTGGCACTCGGAACATGGGTCTCTTCTTCTCATGTTCGAATTCCACAACTCTTCATGCCTTCTCTGATGCCGATTGGGGCGGAGATCGTGATGATTTCGGATCCACCGGTGCCAACATTGTTTACTTGGGTCGTCATCTTGTTTCTTGGTCCTCCAAAAAGCAGCGTTTTGCAGCGAAATCCTCCACGGAAGCTGAGTACAAGTCCGTCTCGACCACTGCCTCTGAAGTCCAATGGATTGCCTCGCTGCTATCTGAACTTGGATTTCCTTCGCCAACTTGCCCTGTTATCTACTGCGATAATGTGGGTGCTACTTACCTTTCGGCCAATCCGGTCTTTCATTCAAGAATGAAACACGTCGCCATTGACTACCATTTTATTCGTGGTCTCGTCCAAGCTGAGAAACTTCGCGTCGTTCATGTATCTTCGGATGATCAACTCGCCGACGCTCTGACCAAAGCTCTACCGAAGACTCGGTTTGAACTGCTTCGTACCAAGATCGGTCTCTCTCTCGTGCCCGATCTTGCAGGGGCATGTTAGAGGATATTATTGGAGCATTCATTTGTTCCTAGTTTTTGGTTATTTAGAAATGTGTGTTCAAGACTTGGTAATTGTTTCTAGATTTTACAAACTATTTATTTTATGTTAGACTAAGTTTTATTATGTATCATTATTATCATGTACTAGAATGTTCTTAGGAGTAGTATATATATGTGTATTCTCGTAGAATTTGTAATACAAAAAATATTCTTTTTCTTCTCTTATATGTGGGAGTGGGTGTCATGTCATTGTTCCATTTATCTGCGAATACAGAGAAAAATTCAAAACTCTATCTCCTTTTCCTCTGTTTCTCACTTTCTCCAATCTGTTTTCGGTGATCGACGACCACATTCCGGCGAAACTTGAAAACTTTGGAACAACGATCTCTCATATGACCATGAAGGCATGCATATTCTTTGTCTTCGAATCCAACCTCTACATACATCCCGCCATTGGAACACCTCTCCGTACCTTCAACCCATCTCACTTGGCTGCATTGCAAGATCTGCGATCGGTGTGCCTATCTTCTACCAATCCACACGCTACAATCGCAATTCGTCGAACACCTTCTCTGCAATCCCCTGCAACCATCTCTGTTTCTTCTCCCTGTACTTCGACAAGTACCATTGATCATGAATCATGATCATCACCAGGACGAAGCCTCTTTCTCTAAGCTTCTCTTCTGTTTTGCAGCCGAATTCCGTGGATACGTCGGTATCTTCAGCGCCGGAGATATCGTCTCCAATACGCTTCACTTGTCTTCCTCCATCCGTCGTCAACCAAGCCAACACCTTGCCCCTTCATTGGGTTTGTCTTCGTCTGCCGCCGAAGCAACACTTTCCGATGGAAACTCAACAGCCTCCGCTCGGCGTCGGCGTCGGCGTCGGCGTCGACGGTCGAGAGAGTTTGACGAGTCACCGATCATCGCCGGGGGCATCAACTTACACCAAAAGATATAACCAATTATACTTCGACAAAAAAAAAACAATTATAAAATGTGAGATTTTAACTGCGTAAAAGTTTATATTTTTCTCGCATAAAAAAAGAATAAAGGAAAAATTACAGCCAATGTAGAATGTGAGAGAGCAAGAAAACATATACTCCTTTCGTTTCAAAAGAAATGCAATTTTAGATTTTATCACAAATTTTAAAAAATATAAAAAAAGCTATATATACCTTCATTAAATCACTAAATCACATTTTCATTAATTATCTATTGAAGTTGATATTTTTAATTAAAAGTAAATTTAAAATTTCTACTAAATAATTACCTAAAAATTCTAAAAGGATATCTATTTATCTTCTAATACGGTATCTATTTAAAAATAGAAAGAGTATATCATATCTATGAGATAAAAAATAGTAAAACGATGGAGATACGAAACATATATGTATCCAGTAAGATGACGTCTACTGATATGATAAACTCGTCTTCAACTTTGCAAAATGATAAGAAATTCGAATATAACTTCAAGATCTCTTACGGATAAATGAGATTACAAAAATAAACATTATTCTAGAGATTATTCCATCTAGCGGATAAATGAGATTACAAAAATATACTTTTAAAATATAATAAAATTTCAATGATTTAGTTTTATCATTTCCATAATTATTAAACAGAAACTTGTTAAAAGAAAACAAAGAACACTTTCAATAGTTTTCTATAAAAAACTATATGTTAGAACACACTCAAAATCTCTTACAAAACCCTTTAGATCTCATTCTCTCTTGTTGCAATATGTTTCTCTTATATGTTATTAACACTTTAGTGTGTTTATAATCGCTAAAATGTCGAAAGGATTTGAAATCTCGACATATTTCGCATATCGATCGCGATTTTTCATTCAAGATTATGATCGATCTATCATAAAAGGACGATTGACCTATCTTGTCCATGATCGATCTATCATGTCCATAATCGGCTTATCATCAAAAGACACTCGTCTGAGTAAATTTTACCCAAAATCAAGATCGAATATATTTCACAGATATGGCAAGTGTGTAGGCTAATGTTATACAAGAGATATTGAAGCAGATTGGACCGACCGAGAATGCTTATGAACAAACGATCTTTTGTGTTTCCATGCCATGACAATGTAGTCATTGTGTCATTGTCGGCACAAACAACTGAGTATATTTTTAATACAATCTATCTCTATGTGTTGCTAAGGGGTGTAAAACGGTCTGACCTGCCTTGATTTGACCCAACTCTCTCGATCTCAAATTTTTTAGTCCAATCGGCTCAATTCGTAGTTGGCGAGCTAAAATTTATTTGCATCAGTGTGTCTCACTTTAAATTAAGAGGTAATCGGATCGATTTGCGAACCAAATACCTAACTAAAAAAATGCAATTTAAATACTAACAAATGTTAAAAAGTTAAACAAAACAAGTTGGATACAATTTAAGCATAAAAAAATTAATTTTTTTTTTAAGATTCAAGAGCTGGTTCTTGGATTTGTCGAGTTGGCTCGTTCGGCCCGTTTTTAAAAAAAAAAAATGTGAACTCGATTCAAACAAATATTGGTCGACTCATGAGCCGAACCGACTTTGACACTCCTATGTGTTGCGATAGTTCGCAGTGATAAAACATTTCTTAAAGCCAAATTGCTTTTCAACATAATGAATGCTTAACTGATTTCGTCGAAGGTATATGGTATGTTGATTTCCAACATCGAAGACCATATCATCCGATCATATCATTTGCAATGAATTGGGAATTAACAAATCTATGACGATACTCCACTAGAAAAAAAAACTACGTAAATCTTGAACAGAATATTTAACAGTTGAAGCAATACCCATTTTTTTGGTTATTCTATTTGGTGAAAGAAAACTAACCATTCATATCAAAACCTAAGACATGTATATTTGGAACTTTAAGTCTATTTTTTAATTTAAAAATTCTGTATGATTTGGTGATTCAATGCACTGTTATAATATATAGTTTTCAATGATTCTTCCTCATCCGGGTGGCCAATCACCACTCAAGCATTGCTTTGACTTGTCCTTTTTAAATACGATCACAAACCAAAGTATATATAGAGATGGGCCAACACTCACAAAAAGCAGCAATATGATATTCGATCCGTGTACTATATGATTCCTTTTCATAACAAAAATATAATCCACGGTTAATGTTTTCCGTATACTTCTATTAGGAATGCATATGTTTACGAAATAAATTTCAATAACGATGGAAATATATATATATATATATATATATATATAAGTATGAAATATCGAGTGGGTGGAAATGTGCTGAAAAAAAAGAAAGCTGTCAAAGAGAGAAAGGCCGAGTCTTTTTTGACGTTATAATATGGCCTTTTGCGTAGCTCTTCAGCCACTTGCTTCTCTTGGAATCTTATAAATGATGGCCGAATAATATATCAATATTGTACGTATATATATATATATTTTTATATTATTGGACTCGAAACATTGCATGCTTCTGTGTATCCCCTATAAATTCTTCTTCACTCTCCACACCCTGAAACCCAACCCACAATTCACAAAACATGTATATATACGCTAAGATTTCCGCTCAAAAACTCATATATATAGACACACACACACGCACATATAGATTCATGTATATACTTGCGTGAATGCGTGACCATCATTGAATGCATGCCAAAGTGGGAATTGCATGGAGATGAGGAGAGTAGATTGCAGCCAAGGATGACTTGCCGGAACAGGTCCCATATCAACCGATTCATCGGTCTTCTATATCATGATATACATTCATCATCATCATCATCATCATTATTATGGTTTGCGTGTTCCCGGCAAGTTGTCCTTTGGCTACATTTTGCTCTCTTATTTTCATGCAAACCCTCTATGGGATTCTTCTTATTTCATCAACCTTGAATCTGCTCAAAACCAACGGTAATCTCCAATATATATATATATATATATATATTAGGGAGTGAACAAAGACTTTTGTTAGACGGTTAAGTTGGTTAAGTCGGTTGTAATTTAGTAAAGAGATTAGCAAATGTATATATGGGTGATACAACAGAGGAATAAAGAACAGAGCATTATTTTCAGTAACAGAAACTCCCGCTCATTCTTTTCCCATATTTTCTCTCAACTTTCCTTCACTTTCTCACATTTTCTCGGTTCGATTTCAATCTCCTATTATGGTATCAGAGCGAATTGATACTTCCGCATCAAAATCTTGTTGAATTTCAGTTCATTCTCTTTCGTTCATCTCCTGTTTCTTCGCGCTTCATCCGAGGAAATGGCGTCAAATTCCAATTGTGCTGATCATTATGTTCTTTCGAACAATGACTACAATCTCAATCTCGTTTCGCATCGGTTGAACGATGCTTCTGGTTTCAATTCCTGGCGACGATCGTTGACAATGGCGCTTGAAGGCAGAAACAAGATTTGTTTTGTTGATGGTTCTCTGCCTCGACCTCCTGATGATAATCCTGATCTCAAGCATTGGACTCGCAACAATGCAGTTGTAAGTTCATGGATTCTTAATTCTGTATCTGAGGATATTGCTGATAGTTTACTACACATTCAAACTGCTGAGAAGATGATTAAGAATCTGATTACGCGATTCCAACAAAAGCATCATTCACGTGTTTATGATGTTAAGCAGAAATTGTTTGGTCTCTATCAAGGATCCATGACTGTATCAGCTTTTTATACGAAGCTTGTCCCTATTTGGGAGGAAACCAAATCTATTCGTGCAAATCTGCAGTGTACTTGTGGTAATTGCTCGTGTGAAACGAACAAGAAATGGAATGACCTCTTTGAAGAAGACTTCGTCATGCATTTTCTGTTCAGATTGAATGATTCCTATGAATCTGTTCGAAGTAATATCTTGATGATGGATATTCTTCCAGACTTAGAGAAGGCATACCACATTGTCACACAACAGGAGCACCAAAGAACTCTGTCTACTCAGCAAATTCCTACTCATCAGCATGTTGCTTTGCAAAACTCTGTCACATCGTCTGTTCCTACATCTGTTAATCCCTCGATTGTAGCTGCTGTTGTTGGTGGAAATTCAAAGCCACGTCAACGACCTCTTTGTACGCATTGTGGTCTTTATGGCCACACTGTTCAGAAATGCTACAAACTTCATGGTTACCCGCCAGGATATAAGTCAAATAATGCTTCGAGACCACCACAATTTGCTCAACAACCGTACAAGTCACACAGTGCTTCACAAGGAACTGTTGCTGCTATTACTACTGAGACAGGTATTGCTCAACCTATAGCTTTACCTGATTTCAGTGCTCTGCCTGCAGCATAACTACATCACATTTATGCAAAGATTGGAGACCAATTGCGAGTGACTGGTCCCACTATTACTGCTTCTGGAGCACGCACATCTGAGTCAACTGGTAATTCTTTCACTGCCTTGTCAGTTGATAGTACTAGCACAGATTGGATAGTAGATTCTGGTGCATCTGTGCATGTTTGTTCTGATAGATCATGGATCACTAATCTGACTTCAATACCAAATACTCTAGTAACACTTCCGAATGGTCAGCGTATGTCTATTGACACTGCTGGAACAGTTGTCATCAATGAGTTTATAACTCTCACAAATGTCCTTTTTATACCATCTTTTTCTTTTAACCTTCTAAGTGTCCATTCCTTAAATGCCGAGTTATGGCACTACAGACTTGGTCATCCTTCTTTACCTAGAATAAAAGCCTTATCTGATGTACTGGAACTCAACAAGTGTGCATCATTAGATCATTGTAAAGTTTGTCATCTTGCTAAACAGCGACGTTTACCTTATGTTTCTCATAACAACTTTTCTGCTCAGCCTTTTGACCTCGTTCATTTGGACATATGGGGCCCTTTCTCTACCATTTCCGTTTAGGGTTATAAATATTTCTTAACCTTGGTTGATGACTGTTCTAGAGTGACTTGGATTTATATGCTGAAACACAAGGGAGAAGTTGCTAAACACTTTCCTGACTATGTCAGAATGGTTGAGAAACAGTTTGGGAAATCCATTAAGTCTATTAGATCAGATAATGCATTTGAATTACAGTTTACAGATTGTTGCAGCAAGCTTGGAATCATCCATTTCTTCTCATGCCCTTACATTCCTCAGCAGAATTCAGTGGTTGAGAGGAAACACCAACATTTGCTGAATGTTGCTCGAGCCTTGTTATACCAGTCGAAGTTGCCCTTGCCATATTGGAGTGACTGTGTTCTCACTGCAACATATCTGATCAACAGAGTTCCTTCTCCCATCTTGCAGAATAAGTCTCCATATGAAATTCTCATGAATAAGGTACCCGCTTACTCCCATCTCAGGACTTTTGGATGCTTATGTTATAGCTCCACTAATCTTCATACCAGAGACAAGTTCTCTCCTCGGGCAAATTCTGCTGTTTTTATTGGATACCCTCCTGGTTTCAAAGGGTATAAATTGTTGAATCCTGAGACAAACAGAGTCTATATCTCAAGGAATGTGGAATTTCATGAACACATTTTTCCTTTTCATTCTTTTAACTCTTCAACAGATTCTACTCTAGAGTCTGTTCCCAATTTCTTTTCCCAATCCATTCTTCCGTTATCTATATCTGATGTTTCTGAGATACATTCTGATCCAGCAACACAGACAAACTTACCGAACCCTGAAATTCCACTTCCAGACTTTGTTTCACCAAGTGCCAGTATGAGAGATAGGTCCAAACGTGTTATCAGACCTCCTTCATACTTACAACAATATCATTGCTACCTTACTCAACATCACACAGCACCAACCTCTACCAAACCCTGCTTATATCCTCTGTCATCTGTTTTATCATATGACAGACTTTCTAAACCTTACCGAGATTACATCCTAAACCTGTCCAATGAAACAGAACCACGAACCTTTAAACAAGCTGTGTCCTCTGGCAAATGGAGAGAGGCAATGGATGTTGAGCTCAATGCTTTGCATTGTAATGGCACTTGGTCAATTGTTTCTTTACCTTCTGATAAGAAAGCAGTGGGTTGTAAGTGGGTGTATCGGATAAAGCGGAAGTCAGATGGATCTATTGATAGATACAAGGCAAGGTTAGTGGCAAAGGGTTTTACGCAATAGGAAGGAGTAGATTTCATTGATACTTTTTCTCCAGTTGCAAAACTTGTCACTGTCAAACTATTGTTGGCTTTAGCATCTGTTAAGAACTGGACTTTGACTCAAATGGATGTCACAAATGCTTTCTTGCATGGTGATCTGGATGAAGAGATCTACATGGAATTGCCCCCTGGTTACACTCCTTCAGCTGGTTCTTCTCTCCCTAATCGTCCTGTATGTAAACTTCAGAAGTCACTATATGGTTTACGACAGGCTTCGAGATAATGGTATCATAAGTTCAGTTCTGTTCTTCTTCGATCTGGTTATAAGCAATCTCAGGCTGATCACACCTTATTTGTCCGGAAGAATGGAGACTCATTCATTGCATTACTTGTATATGTTGATGATATAATCATTGCAAGCAATGATGATAATGCAGTTGATCAACTAAAGTAGATCTTACAGCAGAACTTTCAGATCAAGGATTTAGGTCATCTAAGATTCTTTCTTGGTCTGGAAATTGCACGAAGCGCTGAAGGTATTTCGATAAGTCAAAGGAAATATTGTTTGGAATTGTTGGAAGAGACATGTTTGACAGGATGTAAAACTGCCTCTGTTCCGATGGATCCTAATGCTTCTTTGTCTCAGGATTCCGGCATCTCCTTGTCTGATCCGACGAGTTATCGGGCTTTAGTTGGACGATTGTTGTATTTGACAATAACTCGTCCTGACATCACATTTGTTGTTCATAAACTTACTCAGTTTATGTCACAGCCAACTGAAGATCATTTGAAAGCTGCTCATCGAGTGGTTAGATATCTCAAACAGAATCCTGGACAAGGTTTATTTTATTCAGCTTCTTCGGAGCTTCATCTCAGTGCCTTTGCAGATGCTGATTGGGCCGCTTGCAAGGATTCTCGTTGTTCTATCACTGGCTTTTGCGTTTTCCTTGGAAAATCTCTCATATCTTGGAAAGCGAAGAAGCAACAGGTGGTTTCTCGCAGCAGCACTGAAGCTGAGTACAGATCGATGGCTAATGCAACTTGTGAACTTGTCTGGATTACTCATTTGCTGGAAGATTTTCAGGTAGACTTTGTTAAACCTGCAAATCTATTCTGTGATAATCAATCCGCAATCTACTTGGCTTCGAATCAGATTCTACATGAGCGAACCAAGCATATTGAGATAGATTGTCATCTTGTTCGTGACAAGTTGAAGGAAGGGTGCATCAAGACACTACATGTTCGGACATCGAATCAACTGGCTGATTTCTTCACAAAGCCATTACAACCGTCTCTGTTTCACTTTTTTTTTGCAAAAGTTTCATCTTTCAAGTCTATATCTTGATGATCACAGATATAGCCTTGAGGAGGGGGTATTAGGGAGTGAACAAAGACTTTTGTTAGACGGTTAAGTTGGTTAAGTCGGTTGTAATTTAGTAAAGAGATGAGCAAATGTATATATGGGTGATACAACAGATGAATAAAGAACATAGCATTATTTTTAGTAACAGAAACTCCCGCTCATTCTTTTCCCAGATTTTCTCTCAACTTTCCTTCACTTTCTCACATTTTCTCGGTTCGATTTCAATCTCCTATTAATATACTTTGATATTTGACACAAGCTAAGTTTTCGCAAAACATTTCGTACTATTTTCAAACCATGAGTACATGATAGGCGTTAGTTCGTTAACTAGGTTAAACTAGTGATTCATGCATTTATTTGTTACTATGGAAAGTCCTATCACCATTGCAAGTTAACTCAAAGTGAACACACGGCGAAGTATATGTTAGATATCGATCTATGGATTCATTTATGTTGAAAATGGATAGATTCGTTGTATTATTAATAAAATACCTTTTCCACAAAAAAATAAAAAGAAAAGCTTTTAATCATTTTCTTCTAGTGACGATATATCTTCATAAACTGTGGGAAGACTGCGGATCAAAACCCAAGGGGCAACCTTTGTTGAACGTGAATGAGCCCTTTGTGGCCCTTTGTGGAGTCTGATGTTACTGTGAACCCGACAAAAGCATTATGGAAGTTCGAATAAAGAACAGAAATGAGATCATGTAGTGATAAGCCTCATCTCCTAAATGAAAATGTTAACATCATATCATCATCATCCTCATCATCGTGTTGCATTTTTCTTGGCTTTGACGTGCATTAATATGTTGTCATCGATATCTCATTAATTGCCCCCTCAACACTAAAAATAAGAAGAGAACGTTAAAGTGTATTGCAAGATGAAAAGTCACGGACCCAAACTTGGGTGGTTTGTAAGAGAATGTGTAAAATATGTTATTACTCGGGTTTAAATCGGGAAGAGATATTCACCCGTACTTTTTTATCTTCTGGAAGATATAGTTGCATCAAAGATATGGTGAATTTTTGGATTATTAAAAAAATGAAAAATCACGGAGAATTGGAGTTATCTATATTATCTATATTATGGAATTATATTCTTAATAGGATTAATGTTAATGTTTTATATTATGGAATTATATTTCTAATAGAATTACTGTTAGTGTTTTAATAGAATTAAGTCTGTAGTTTTCGGTAGGATTAAATTTATTCTATATTTATGTTTACATATATGTTATTTGGTTTTGGTTGAATGGAGTATAAGGTTTTACTCTGCAAATTTTGATTCTATAAAATGACATTTCTTTCCTGCCAAAGTAAAAAAAAATGATGAACGATATAATAACATTTAGTTTTGGTTGTCCTGTAATATATATACATATATGATGACGATTTTTGTCTACTCTAGAATTTGACGGAACGCATCAGTTATCTATGACAGGTAAATTTTGGGATTTTACGTTGGTAAACTTTGACGGTTTAGCCAATCGCGTCGTAGGTGGGGGTATCTTCGATAAATAATCCATGTGAATATATATATATTCAGGAATTTTTGTCCGTTATATTCGATTGACGTAAACCAACCATCCATGCAGTTACATTACATGTCATATGGTTTAATTATTTAGACCTAAATCATTGTACTTTTTTTTTATAATATTAACATGTGGACATTTAAACATTTTTTTTTTAATTTCGCATTTTTTTCGCAGTCGATTTTCGATTGCAGTTGTGGTATATATGATCTCAGTAGATACTTCATGACAAGTTGGACCAAACGAGTAACAACGTAACGTTTCACACCCCACATGCATGCATGGTACAAGCTTACATATATAATTGCAACTTATAAATTTAGTCTAATATGCTCTATTATGTTCGATATCATTACAGCACGTACAGAGCCCTAGGGTTTTTGACCTTAAGACAAGACGTGGGGGGCGTCGTTAAGATACCAGACAATCTAAAGGCAAGCACGACCATGCCAAAAGACGTATACCTCGACTAGATTTAAACTATATATGTAACCGTGAAACAAGATACTATTATGGATACGTCCGGCCGGAGAGACAGAACTCTCGGAGACATATTTTTTTTTTTATAATCCAAAAGTTTGTCAAGATTTTTGGTCTAATTACATATCGTAAAAAAATATGGAGAAATTTATGTAAATATCCTTTTTCAATTGGAAAATCGAATTTACTTTTGGAAATGAGTTGTATCTCTAGATAAATATTTTCTTTTTATAAATTAAAAAAAAACATTACAGAAATGATGATGTAGTGATTTATCACAGTTCAGAGAGAAAACATTAAAAAATGAATTTTCTGTTTTTATTTTTCGAATTCTGACCGTCGTTGACTTCAAAGTACGTAATTACAACCGGATTTATCGTTTGTTAGAATGCGATCTCAAAACGGGTAGGCACCAATTTTTAGTTTTTTTTTCTTAATTACATCGACACTAAATTTATGTCGGACACAAACTAAATATTGTAGATCGCTACGTAAATTGGTTAAAGTACGAGAACACACACACCCATACACATTGCGGATCTACTTGCACATAAGTAGGGCACATGCCCTATTCACATTTAAAAAAAGAAAGAAATATTATTTATAGTTTTAATTAAATTATAACAATGTCCCCACTAAAAAAATTAAGTGTGCCCCCTCATTTTTTTAACCCTAAATCTTTTTTTTCAATTTTTTCTTCTACCAATTTCATATTCTCTTCATTTTTTTAAATTCTTTACCAACTCCAAATTAATTCTGTTTAATCTTTTATCAAATAAAAAAATAAAATCCAATAATAATCAAATCCAAAAAACTAAAACCAACAAAAATATGTAAGTATTCTGGATTTTATTTTAAATATTTTTTTATCTTTTATTCATTTGTTTCTAAATATCTATCATATTAATAAATTTGTTTTTATACAAATCTCATAATTGATTTAATAGAGAAATCTATTGAGAAATTTCTCAAAAAAAAATTTACAGTGTCAAAAATTTAATGATCTATTTAACGGAATAAAGTCAAAATTGCTCACTTATATGACAGTTTTTAGTCATGTTAAAATAACTTTGTGTAGTCGGATTGGTGATCAGCATTTGAGTGATTTTCTAATTTGTTTTATCGAAAAAAATATATTTGAGATAATTATAAATGAAGTTGTTATGGATAGATTTTAAAAAATGAAAAATCGGAGAATTTAGCTATATAATGAAAAATATTTTTTTGATAATATATTTTTATTAATTTTTTATATTTTATATAATATTTATATTTGTTGCCTCCATTGAAAAAAATTTCTGGATCCGCCACTGTCCATACATGTGTATATATATATATATATTGTGTTCATATCTTGGGGGAAAATTCAATTTTATATAGATTCGGTTTCTGATTCCATGGGTTAATTATTCTAATTTCGCCAAAATAATTTCGTATATGCTTCAAATCAATTACTAACATGATTGGGTTCTGGATTATTACCAAAGTTAATTTTTCTTTTTCTTGTAGAATTGTTTTTGTTCGTCTTCATATATTTCAGAGTCACTAGATTATTACTTTCGTCTCCGTTTTGATTGTGTTCAAAGCTGAACCGGACCGGTTTCAACTTCGATTCCATTTCATCTCAATTTTTCCAACCTAACTAAACCAAAACCGAAAAATCAAACCGATACCCGAATAACCAACACCAATATATATATATATATATTTCGGTCGCCATATTTACAGAACCAAAGTAATCCAAAATGGAAAAATCCCAGCTCTGGTTCAAAACTCAAATCGCGTTGCATGTAAATCGTTGCGTTTATCATCACTCTTTTATATTTTATAAATGGAAACTAATATTCATATGATGAAAGGTTTCAAACAAAATTTCCAACTATGGACATATTGGGCCATGTAAGCCCACCTATATATGATGGAAGACCCTTTTATAATCATCATGGACCCAATTCAGCCCATTAAGAAACCTAGAACCCTAGTTCTCGTCTTCTTCCTCGGAAAGAAGTGCTCATGCTTTGGTTTCCATGTGCATTTCGGAATAAGTGAGCAATTCTGATAATTCGGCTTCCATTGTTTTTTAGCTTTGTTTGCTTATTTGGTCTGTATATGTATCTATGATTCAGCTAGATCAGAAGCCAAACGCGTACGATTTTTGCTCCAGAAATGCTTATGCTTCGGATATGCTAGATGCTACGACATGAGATGTACTGCGAATGTGTGTCTTCCTAAGGTTGTCCGATGATGATGTTTTTGTGTCTCGTCATATTCTTCGGTTCGTATGTCGCAGAATGGAGAGAGAATTGATGGGCATTCGTGTTCGTCGCGGACATATGTATGTATATGCAATTCACCTTGATCAGATGCCATTTGCGTCTGGATTCTGAGAAAGGAGATGTTGCTCAGACTATCTGATTCAAGCAATGGCTGTGAGTTTACAACTTCTTTTTCAGTGGCTATGTTTCTGTCTTTCTCCTCTCCAATTCACCAATGGCTTCTGGTTCCGCTTGCAGCTCCTCATTTCATGCGCACAAGTTTCCTCCCCCCAATTGGTTATCCTTCGCTTTCTAAATCAGAGCCTTGATTTTGTCAACGACAATGTCTCCAAGATCTTTTCTCCTCTTTTCGCCAACCTCAGGTACTTTTGGATTTACCTGTTTTAGCTTCACGTTTTGGTACTCGTTAATGGTTAGGGTTGATCTGTGAGGTGAATTTCCTGCTCAACGGATTTTTAGGGATTTCAAGATGCTGCTTTCTTGCTTTGAGCATCCTCATTCGGATCCTGCGAATCCTTCTCACTCTTACACCCAGGAATGGTCTTCTGATAAGAAAGATTATGATGGAAAGGGAGATCCCGAAGCCATATTCAATGGGTTGGATTCCATCTTGAAAAGCAGTTTGGATCGTCTGAGAGATATGAGGTTTGCCTCTTTCCAAACTGCTCGTGACTTCCTAAGTCTGAAACTTTTATCGTTCGAGTTTCTCCTTCTGAAATCTGTGACTTATCTCTCATGCAGGGGAAGCGTATCATGGAGGAAGAACTTGAAACTCGACGAATCTTGTCATGGTTCTATAATAAGAGAGCTCTGTTCACAAGGAAAGCTGGACACTGCTCTCTGGTTGAGGAGAAAATTGATGCAGAGAGGACATTTTCCAGGTTTGCTCACACACAATCATCTTTTAAATGGGTTGTGTAAAGTAGGCCATATGGACAAGGCAGATGAGCTTATTAGGGAGATGTCGGAGATGGGTCCTTCCCCTGACTGTGTCTCGTATAGCACTATTATTAAGGGTCTCTGCCGGGTTAACAATGTAGATAGAGCTCTATGTTTCTTTGAAACTATGACTAAATATGGTGTTCAGCCAAATAGAGTTACCTGCAACATAATGGTACATACTCTTTGCAAGAAAGGTCTTCTGGAAGATGCCACAAAGCTGCTTGGAGAGATTTTAGGTGGTACCCTGGAGAAAGCAACCTCAGACGTAGTCACCTCCACTATTCTGATGGACAGTTGTTTTAAGCAGAGAGATATGACTAGAGCTCTTGCCCTTTGGAAGGAGATGTCTCAGAAAAATACCCTGGCTGATTCGGTTTTGTATAATGTCCTCATTCACGGTTGCTGTTTGAGTCGAAACGTGATAGCCGCTTATGGCTTCTTGTGTGACATGGTAAAGAGAGGAGTAGGTCCTGATGTTTTCACTTATAATACTCTTATAAGTGCATTCTGCAAGCAGGGAAAACTAGTTGAGGCATGTAATGTTTTCGGTATCATGCAAAGGGTTGGTGTTGCTCCTGATCAGATCTCATACAAAGTGATTATTCAAGGTCTTTGTATACATGGAGATGTGGCAAAGGCAATGGAGTTCCTTTTAGGCATGTTAGAAAGTTCTCTGCTGCCAGAGGTTCTGCTTTGGAATGTGGTTATTAATGGTCACGGAAGATATGGGGATGTTAGCAATGCATTATCTGTTCGGGATCTAATGCTTTCTTATGGGATTTCACCCAATATTTACACAAACAACTCGTTGATTCATGGGTATGTGAAAGGGGGAGATATCATTGAAGCATTTCGGCTGAAACACCAGATGTTGTCAGCTGGAATTATCCCGGATATTGTCACCTATAATCTTCTAATAGGTGCTGCTTGTTCTTTGCAGAATATGCCTTTGGCACTTCAACTGTATGATGATATGCTGAAAAAGGATTGTCTACCTGATATTATCACTTATACTGAGCTGATTAAAGGCTACTGTAGGAAAAATCAATTGAAGGAGGCAGAAAGTGTTCTGCTCCAACTGCAAGTCTCTGGTATACCATTAGATGGTGTTCCTTTCAAAATACTTATCAAGAAATATTGTATATTGCAACAGCTTGGCAAGGCAGTTTTAGTCTACAAGAAGTGGTTGGTATATGCTACTAAAACTGGAGCAGGAAT